GTTGATGCATTTGTGCATGTCGTACTAAGCAAGGTATAAAAACAGTTGCTTTATGAGGAATTAGTTCATACCATTGAATATTTGACGCAATAGACAAGGTGTCGCAGAAACCGATGTTGCTATAACCAAGTTTTACTGTACTTGTATTACTAGGATTATCAATTGGAGAATGAGATATGCTGGGCATGTAGCATCCATGAGAGGCAAGTGCATGCAGAGTTTTGATAGGAAGGCTTGAAGAGGGCACTGCGAATTCCTAGGCATACATGGAAGTATAATATTAAAAGTAACCTGGAAGAAACAGGATGGGAGGGTGTGGACTGGGGTCGTTTGGTTCAGGATAGAGACCAGTAGCAGATAAATGCAAGTAATAATGAAATCAGTAACAAAAATGAGACGCGTAAACACACAAATAACAACCTGTATATGTTGAGCAACTGAAGGACAAGCAGTTAGTGACTTCAGATGTGTTTTTTAAGTACAAATTAATTTATGGATGTGTTTCTTTTTTTTTTTCCTGTTTTAATAGAGTTAATAGTTTATTTTTATTGCAATTACAATTCCCAGCTAATTTTAAGACTTACAGTTCACATGAAACATAGTTAAAGAAATTATTTCATTAATCTGAAACTCACAAAAAGTGCGTTTCGTAGAGTGCTAGAAATTTCTTGGCTAGATCAGCAAATTTTAGCTCATAAAGAAAACTCTTCTTGATGGATTACTAATGTGTTATGTTACTCTATGGGGTTATTAAGTAACATTTTGTCAATAAATCGAAATATCTAAATTCTGAACACAGTAAAAAAATGTAACTGTTTTTGATTGATTTTCATGTTATGTTTTAACTATGAAAATGATCATACCTTGTCCATTTCTTCGCCAGTCATCACATGTATTTTGGTAAATATCATGTTATTTAATTTGTTGTGTGCCAGCTTAATCCATCGTACCTTTCTAAATTTCTTTTCCTTGCCACACATTTTAACGTAGCCCTTCCATCTCCACACCAGTCTTAAATAGTCGTTTTTCAGTATTAGTTGCTACAGGGACTACACAGACTTAACTGAAAACATGTTGGTAACAGTTTTTGAACTGAATAACAAATAAACATTCTAAAACATCTTTTTCTCATAATTTCATCAAGAACCCAATTTCTCCTCAGCAGATTGGCTCAGGTGTTAATGCTTCTGACTTCTGTTCAGAAGGTGCTTAGTTTGAATCTTGTCTGGGACAGTGTTCTTAACTGATTTTTCTTTGGCCTGATGTTTTTTCATGGGTTTTCCTTACCCCATCAGTCAGTGCTGAACAGTACCTTAGATTAGCCCATGAGAGCTTCCCTCAACAGCATTCCCACTCCATTAATCATTCTACCATGTGATTGTATAGGAGCCAGGATAGTGTAGTCAGCATAGTGACTACCTACAGGCTGGAGAACCAAGGGGTCAGAGTTCGAGTGCCAGTAGGGTAAAAGAATTTCTCTTCTCCATGTCATCCAGACCTGTTCTGGGGTCCACCCTACCTCCTATCCAGTGGGTACTGGGGACTCTTTCCCCGGGGGTAAAGCAGTCAGGGCGTGAAACTTACCACTCACCTCCAGCTAGTGCCGAAGCCAAGAAGATGTGGATCTATACATCCATCCCCCCATACATTCTCATGGTGTAGTGCTTAGTTAGTTAAGCACAAGGACAACTTAACCTTTACATGACCCATTTTATGGTATGTAGCCTGAGCTAATGACAGTGTTGTTAAATAAAGCATAAGTAAATAATTACACCTCATTTGTGTTTGTTTTGTTTCCTGGTACTTGAATTTTGACACATAGTCAAGTGGGTTGTTATATTATAACTTTGTTTGCTGACTTTGGTTCTGTGTCATGTTCATACATGTAGTTTATTCTGTCTTGAAACATCTTTGAGAGTATTATCATCAGAAAATTACTAGATTTTAATTTAAACATATGATGGGAACTATAATTGACATACTGGACATCTGCTTGAACATGGAGGACTTCCTTTCGATTGGGTTGTCTTCTGAATGTATGATTGGGTTCTGGGTGTTCTTTCTCTGGGGATAAAGCGGTTGGGCTGTAAAACTGACCACTCATGTCCTCCTAGTGCTGAGGTCAGGTTCATTCCTCGTACTTCTTCATGGCATGGTACTTAATTAATTAAGCAAAAGGCCAACTTTTAGCTTTACCTTTAACTGAATGTATGATGTGCTGTCAGAGGTGTTTCAGACAGTTTATTTATATTTACTTATAGACTGCTTTGTTTGCCTGTGTGATGATTCTCGAATTACACTTTTTTGGAATTTATATTCTGTCTCAAGAAATTAGTCATCAGTTGTAATCAAATATATTGTTCATAAATTTAATGAGGCATGCTGTCTGTTTTCCTTTTTTTTTTTATAAATTTGATAAAATTTTGTTTATGTGGCATGTGTGAATAAGGAGAGAGCCAAAGTTATCTTTGTGTTTAATTAATCACCATGTCATAAAGACTTGGGAGAATGGAGATGTAGCTCCATGCTGGGGAAATAGCTGTTGGTACCCATTGGACAGGAGGCTGGGTTTGTCTGAGAGCTACTCAGAGTTTGGATGCTAGAAAGTGAAAAATGTTTCCTTGCTGGGAATTGAACCTTGGATATGTTGGCTGTAGCATAGTTATTCTGACTGCCACAGGAAGGGCAATGAAGACAACTTTTAATGTAGCCACCAGTACCAGGTTTTTTGAGAGATTAAACATGAATGGAGGCGTTACCTCATTCATTTTATGAACATAGCACAGGTAAGGGGCACATGGTAGCATAGTTGGTTGAGGCACTATGCTACAAGCCGGAAGGCCGCAGGTTCAGTTCTCGATAAGGCCATTGGATTTTTTCAATTTCCCTAATCCTTCCAGCCGCCCAGTGGCCCTGGGGTCGACTCAGCCTTTAACACAAATAATAATCACCGGGAATCTTCCTGTGGCCTAATGGACAGTAAGGCTGACAACCTCACCTCCATCTGTGAGCCAATTGTCTGGAAAATGTGGGAACCTCGATGTCTCACAACCCTATGGGCCTTCATGGCCTGTTACAGGAATAGATTTACCTTTTTACGTAGCACAAGTAAAGCATCTCATGCTGGATTGGGTTTTGCAGCAGAAACAATTTTACCTTTATATGGACTTCTAAGGTTTTCTGTTTTTATATCTCAGAAATTTGTATTTGGGGTAGCTCATTCAGTATAGTGACATGCTATGGGCTGGATGACCAGGGTTTGATTCCCAGCAAGGGAAAGATTTTTCTCTTCTCCACAGCATCCAGACCAACTCTGGGGCTCCCCTAGCTTCCTATCCATTGGGTACCAGGGACAATTTCCCCTGGGGTAAAGCAGCCAGGTATGATGCTGACAACTCACTTCCAGCTAGTGTCAAAGTCAAGAATGGTGGATCTATACCTTCACTTCCCCATATGTCTTAATTAATTAAGCATGGGGACAGCTTTACCTTTTGCCTTTGCCTCTGAAATTTACTTATGACACTGTTTATTTTCCAGGATCTCATCCTACATCATCATTTGACATAGTGTTGTCTGGAGTGATTTTCCCACAGTCAATAAGTCACACTACAGAATTACTTGGAGAGTTGTTAAGAGTGGTGAAACCCAAAGGGAGAATCATCTTGCAAGAAGTAACAGTACAAAATGCAAATGGAACGCACCTGAAAACAGCAGAAAAGTTGCAATCTGTTTTAAGAATCACTGGTTTGACAAATATACAAGAAGCCACACTTGTTTCGTTGACAAATGCAGAAATCCAAACATTAAAAGATTTACTTAACATCGCAGTAAATGTTAATGTTGTTGAAATTCAATGCCAAAAGCCAGATTTTGAGGTACTTTAATATCTTAATTGATACTTTTCCTGTGAATAAGATCTAAAAGTTTTGACAATGGTATATTAATGCATACAATAATTATGTTTCTGAACATTATATATTGTCCCATTTTTTTTAATTTAAAACAATGTTTTGGATACTGGATTCTTTCTCCTTCAGAAGAAATCTCAGTTGGGCTCAATCGGTGGAGCTAGCCCGTATCCACAAATACCAGCATCAACACAAGATAGGATATATAGACCAAGCACAGTATAAACCATCTGTGAGAGTTAAGACAAACATGAAAATCTTTAAAAAATTTCCACACACATGAGGCCCAGCACCTATGTCCATGCACCATTTCATAGCTGCTGCTGTTAAAATCAGAGTACTGTCAGAATAGAAGTCATCAGTAAAGAGACAAATCCTGTGTATGGTGGCAATATAAAAACACAACTTTCACACATAATTTCCACTATATGGAGTTGTAGTCTTTTGACTTCTGCTGCAGATGGGAGAGGTGTCCAGGCTGGGTTGACTGATCAGACGATCTACCAGAGACATTTGAGAGCATTCCTTGTATTTCCAGTATGTGGTGTTTGGTTCAACCTGCAAGATATTTGTTTCTTTCCAGTATATTTTGTAGCCCTTTTCATATGCATGTTGGGCTGATTTTGATTTTTCACACAGACTTTGGGTCAGATTACATTTATGCTCCTTAATGCGAACTCCTAAAAGTTTGTTTTCTGATGCAACATTTGCCAGACACACATGGGATGTAGTACGCACATTGCTGGGCATCTCTGATTGGTCCCGTTTTTGTCGGTGTCAGTTTTGAAAATGGTCCTGACGTTGAAATGGTTTCCAGTGCATTTGACTTTTTCAGAGACACTCTGAACATATGGGATAATGACCATGTCCTGGTATGTTATATCTGAAGAAAGACTGTTGCTCCTTGATGGCTTCATTATGGAGTGAATGAACTCTTGTGGATATTCATTAAGCTCCAGGTTATGTATTATGTTCCCGATTTCCTTGTTGAAGTCCTTCTGATCCTGACATATGACCTTTGCTTGGTTCATCAAACTATGAATGACTCCACTTTTCGCATGATGTGGGTGGTTGGGCTTGAAATGCAGGTAACGACCTGTATGAGTAGGTTTCACCTGAGGACAAACACAGAATCGAGTCACCGAAACGTGTGTGTTAAATAAAAACAAGTATGATTGATAATGTCCAGAAACCCAAGAATTTTAACTTTTCTGTGTGTACTTGTGTTATATGAATTTTTATGCTTATTTTTTTATATTTTGTGAAATATTTGTACAGGTGAATTAACTATGAGGCTGCCATAAATTATTCTAGTACTCAGGTGAACATGCCACACCCTTCTCATGTTAGCTGGGTTCATGCATATTCAGGTCCATATTATGGTCAAGAAAACTTACCCAAAATTACAGCTGATTGTGGGAATGGTCTCTGTTGTTCCTCATAGAAACTTAATAGCTCTGTCAAAGTTTATTCATGTGCTGAAGCTCTACTTAGGTTACAGAGTAAACTTCTTTTTGGATATTTGCTTTCCGTTCTTCAAATATATGAGGGGTTGATCCATCAGCATTTTGGTTTACAGTTCCCGATACATTAAAGTCATACCTGTTAAGGTCAATGGACTGTGCTGACCACAGAACTCTACTAGCTACTTGATGTTGCAATTTGGTTCTTTTTTTGTCTAATAATAACTGTTGGTCATAGCACATGTGCAGTATGAATGGTTTTTCTTTATGAAACTGTAATGTCCTGAAATTCATGCTGGAATTTTCTCCTTCACGCATAAATATCCTGCAACAACACTCGTTGCTGCCCTGTGTAACTTGCCCATGGTATTTCAATACTAGAACATGTAAGAAAAGTTGTCCTTGTGCTTAACTGATTAAGCATTATGCCAGGAAGGCATATGGGGGAGTGGATGTATAGATCCACATATTCTTGACCTTGGTGCTAATTTGAGGTAAGTGGTCGGCTTCACTCCCCGGACACTTTTCCTCAAGAGAAAGAGCCCCCATTATACTGTGTAGTGACTGTTAGTCTGTTGACTGCACCATAAGTCTGAATATTTGTGTTGCAAGCTGACACAAATTGGTTGTTACTCTTTCACCAGAGTGTCTTAATATTTTGCAGCAAGTTGTCTGATAATCTCTCCTTATAGCAGAGGGATGATTAACCAGTTCTTTGCTGACTCTCTCTGAGACCTTGTCAGCTGTCTTGTCTGAACATCCATACCGCAACTATGAAACATTTTGAAAGATTTCTTCATATCAGCAGGCGGTAGGCTTATGCTCTTCTGTGATCTTCAGTTATCAAAGAATGAACGAAATTTATTAGTATACACTAAAGAAACAAAAAGGTAAAGTTGCCCCTAATCTTAACTAATTAAGCACTATGCCATGCAGGCGTGTTGAGGAGTGGATATGTAGATCCACATTTTCTTGATCTCAGCACTAGTTGAAGGTGTGTTCAGCTTCACACCCATGCCACTATACACCTGAGGAAAGAGCCCCTGGTACCCATTGGATAGGAGGCTGGGTGGACCCAAGAGCCAGGCTGGAGGATATGGAGAAGAGAAAATTCTTGACCCTAGTGGGACTCGAAACTCCAGCCCTTCGGTTGTTCAGCCCGTAGTCAGTCACTGTACCAGTTGGGCTATCCCGGCTCCTAAACTAAAGAAAACGTAAACTTAAAATAATCCTGCGACAGCAGGGACTAGCTGCCATGTGATTGCAACTGTAAGAGTTAGCAGCAGACGCTACTGTTACTAAGGGGCAACAGGGAACAGTATAATAAGCCAGCTGAGCAGTGTGTGAGCAGGCAGTGTGCAGTGTGCGCCAGTTGAAGGCAGACAGACGACTGTATTGACAGAGGAGAGAAGTATGGTGCCGAGCCAGGAGCTAGTGTACTGCCAGTGTGCAGTGATGCGCCGACAGAAGACAGTGGAAGCCGCACGGAAAGCAGATGGACAGTTCTACAGTATAGTGAGAGTTGATAATACGAAAGGAGTGACTGTGAAACGACTTGTTCAACATTTTTTCTTATAATTACGTTGAATTGTAGTTATGGCATTGAGTAATAAAGTGACGTCGCAAGAATACACTCCTTGAGGTCTTGTTTCACAACAACTGTTCTCCAGTATGCTATCATGTGCGTTCACATGTCCTTTCGAATAAAACTGGAATAAATACGGGTAGATCGAAAAGTCGTGTACATGAAACTAAAAGTTGTTATAAATTGTGTTGCAGTTAATATAATTATATCTCCTACCGCTAGATGGTACTGTAGGATTACTAACAGTGAGTAGAAACGCCATCTGTTGTGTATCGGTGGTCATACGACAGCTGCAGTATAGCTTTGTTTATTGCGTGGCAGACATGTTGTTTTCCCAAGAACGAGTTTTCATTGTGGAACATTATTTCGCCTGTCGTTCTTATGCACATGTCACAGATGACTTTCGTCGGGAATATGCAGATTCTGCAGTTCCTAACAGTTTGACGATAACGAGAATAATCAACTGATTTTGGGAATGTGGATCAGTTTTAGATAGGAAGAGATCCGGGAGACCGGCCATTTTGACTGAGGCTAAACTGGCTGACATGGAGAAAATGTTGCAGCGTTCCCCTTCAAAAAGCCTGAGGAGACTATCAGCGCAATCAGGGATTTCGTATGGAAGTGCTCAGAAAGCGATGAAGAAGTGCATATAGTGTTCACTGTGTGCAGGAACTGAAGGACCTGGATAAAGAAAAATGCTAAGCGTACTGTAGACNAGAATACACTCCTTGAGGTCTTGTTTCACAACAACTGTTCTCCAGTATGCTATCCTGTGCGTTCACATGTCCTTTCGAATAAATACGGGTAGATCGAAAAGTCGTGTACATGAAACTAAAAGTTGTTATAAATTGTGTTGCAGTTAATATAATTATATCTCCTACCGCTAGATGGTACTGTAGGATTACTAACAGTGAGTAGAAACGCCATCTGTTGTGTATCGGTGGTCATACGACAGCTGCAGTATAGCTTTGTTTATTGCGTGACAGGGATGTCATTTTCCCAAGAACGAGTTTACATTGTGGAACATTTCTCCAGTCGTTCTTATGCATGTGTTGCAGACGAGTTTTGTCAGGAATATCCACATTCTGCGGTACCTAACAATTCGACGATACCAAGAATAATCAACCAATTTCGGGAATGTGGATCAGTTTCAGATAGGAAGAGATCCGGGAGACCGGCCATTTTGACTGAGGCTAAACTGGCTGACATGGAGAAAATGTTGCAGCGTTCCCCTTCAAAAAGCCTGAGGAGACTATCAGCGCAATCAGGGATTTCGTATGGAAGTGCTCAGAAAGCGATGAAGAAGTGCATATAGTGTTCACTGTGTGCAGGAACTGAAGGACCTGGATAAAGAAAAATGCTAAGCGTACTGTAGACGGTTTTGGACATTTGTTGGAAACCATGGAATTGAAGAGTTTAATCAGGTTTTCTTCACTGACGAAGCATGGTTTCACCTTAGTGGCTATGTGAACAGTCAAAACAATAGAATTTGGTCATCTGAAAATCCACATGTGTTACATGAAAAGCCCTTGCGCTGTCAGAAAATTGGAGTGTGGTGTGCTGTATCACGTCGTCGAATAGTGGGCCCAGTTTTCTTTGAAACAACAGTGAACCATCCAGTGTACCAAGACATCATTACACAGTTTATTGCGCTTCATGAAGTTGATGAACGTGAGTGTTAGTTGCAGCAAGACGGTGCCACATGTCACGCATCTAATGAAACCATACAGTTCTTGCTCGAGTTTTTCGTTGACCATCTCATTTTGAAAGTATTGTGGTCCCTGCATTCGCCAAATTTGTCTCCCCGCAGATTTTTCCTCAAAGGAATTGTCTATCAAAACAATCTGCATACACTGGATGACCTCGAGAGGAACATTACGACAACGATTAACAGCATCAGTTTACACGTGCTCCACAAAGTGGACTCAGACATGGTAAAAGGACCTCACGCATGCATTGCTGAACAAGGAAGCCATTTTGAGCATATGTTATAAAGACATGATTTGATTTTGCATTTCTAAGATGCAAGGTTATAAACATTAATAGTAAGTGAAGAAAGCAGTCTTCTGGGATTTGGCACCATGTATATGTGGTGTTAACCGACATTTCACATGTATATTTCCACACAGTCTGCTTTTACCGGTTCTCACGGTCTCTTTGCTTGCAGGTTTCTTATATTTTTTCTTCTTTTCTTCCAAAACGTCGGTTAACACCACATATACACGGTGCCAAATCCCAGAAGACTGCTTTCTTCATGGTCACCGCCGTGAAAGCCTCAAATCTTACATTAATTGTAAGTGCTGTATGTCTTGTAGTTTGTGCATTAAACCAGTAAAATATAATTGTTTAGTGTAATGTGTGCGACTTCTTGATCTCCCTGAATGTCAAGTTGGTATCAGGCTTACCACCATGAACTGACTAAGATATCAGTTAAGAGAAGTTGCTAAAGCACATGGCTGTAAGCCATGGTGAGCTTGTGAGTTGACATATTTTTACACAAGGGTTGGTTTTATTTGAATGGACACGAAACATTGGATACTGAAACACAGGAGCTCCTCATCTTCTACGTGAAGTTGCGCTCCATGATGTGTACTGTATTTAAAACACCTTTGAGGGTGCCTCATGAGGTATTGATATAAGTAATTACTTTAACGTTAGAAAGATGCAAGATTTTACACTCAGCATACAGTGGGAACCAGAATCACCATACTGGAGGTCTTGTTGCACACATAGGACAGTTATATCCTGCATGGTTGCCTGCTCAAAGTATGGCGTGCCCCCAGAAATATTTGAGACACCAGTAAAAGTTGGTGATTGGTACATTCTGAGAGTTAGAAGGAGTGTAGCTACTTTGGATGAATTCTGAGAGATGTGTATTGTAAGGGCACAATTAGCTTGAACCCTATGATGTCATGACTATAGCTGACCCACTAGGAACATCTCTGTGAAGAACTGGGAAACCATTTTTACAGTATGCATCAAAATTAAAAGAAAAAATTGAAAATAGAGTATAACTCTAAAATTTTCAAATCTTATGTTATAATATGAGACACTATGTTCTTTGCTGGTACAGACAAAGTTAATTCCATCCATTTATCATAAAAATTGTCTTAGATACAGCATTTTTAAACGTAACGCTTATAAATGTTTAAGTGCCCTAACAGGAACGGACATTTTTTTCATTGATTCCCATGTTATGAGTGGTATATTTCTGTGGAGATTTTTTTGTCTGCTGCTGTATTAAAAGCACATATTATTTTACCCCATCAGAAATACGTGTTATAGTAGTAGGTTGACAAAAATGCACATAAAAACTGGAAAAATTTTAAACTTTAAACACCATAAATTTCGAAAAAAGGGGCAGAAGTGATACATATCAAGCTACACATCCTTCTACATCACTGATGCATTCATACTTGTTATCGAAATATATTTGGCAGAATTTCTATAAACTCAAATTTATTGCCCATATTGTCAGTTGTGGTCATAACTATAATTTCTGTAAGGGTAGACTCTGTAATCTGAAGGCCTGTAATACTGGAGGTGTGTTTTATAACAGCTGTGGGCAGTTTTATACCACGTCCTGTGCACTACACAGGTGGACTGTTAAGTAATGAGGTATTGACATGCATCAAGAAATAAATGAAGTGTGAGCTTTCAAATGTAGCATGGCACAGAATGATTTCCTGACTAGCTTGAGGGTCACAGAAGCAGAAAATTTCTTTCCTGCTGTAAATGAGTTAATACCCAAAACGGTTCCATGTGAGAGTGCAGATCAGTATGTTTTGTTAAGTAGTTTGTAGACAATTAGTATTTCTCAGACAGAATAATAGTGATGCATCATTTGGTTCATGGGAAATTTCAACATTTTAACCCATTAAAGCATGGTGGTTATTGTGTGTACCACCTTTAACATTAAAATGTCTGAATTTTGTCCATGCCTTCACATTGTGTTTGTGTGTTTTATATGATTCTCATAATAAAAATAAATTATTTTCTAAACTCCATTAATTGGTTGGTCTTCATAATGGGAAGATGCAATGTGTTTTCTATGAGGCAAGAACACGATTTCTAAATGCCCTGATAACCTTGAGGCTCCAAAGTGTTGACAGCAACTGCTAAGTGAAGGTATTTATTCTGTATGTGGAAATTATAGTTTTCTGTTTTACTCGATATACAGTATGTGTAGCAGTTATGTAATATAACCACTCGGCATGTCATTTTCAGTGATGATTTCTTTTGTAACCACTCTATTCTGATGTGACAGCCTTCCAGTTATGATTGGTTGTGAGGGTTGTGACACCTCAGGATGTATAGCATTCAGGGACTGGATTTGCAAGACGGTATAGGTGGTACATGGTTGCATATGTAGGTATGAAGTAATGACATTGACTGTTGCCGCACATCACTGTCAAGAGAAAACAGATTTTCACTGTGCCCAGTCGCTTTGTTTAGTGGCTCTCACAATCACACATCCCTAGCATGGTTGCACAAAATAATACAGTTAAAATACAGTCTTATTTCATTTCATTACTAATTGTGAAGCGTCTGCCTCCTAACCAACTTTTTGATGACTGAACAACTTAAATGGTTTCTCCTGACATTCAGCCAGACTCCTACCAAAGGAATTTCATTAAGGAATGCTGACTGGCCCTTGCCGAGTGAATGATCTTGGAATTCTGTACCCTCTCAGCTGTGCTCCCTATTACCACAGATATGTAACACACTTGGGGATTGATTGCGGGATCCTTGCACTAGGCATAGAATTTATTTTTAATACATAAATTAATACAGTGTTGAAAACCTGGCTGAGATGAAATAGTATTGTGACGTGTTGCTAGGAAGTGGCTCCGTAAACACGCTCCAACACGCAACAATGCGAGTTGTTTTCTCTCTGGATGAATGTTACAGCTCGTTACTAGGCAGCAGTGAGCACACCATTGAACTAACTGGATCTAGATCATGTGGTAACCCCAACAGAGCATCGTGCAACTGTGGAGGAACCTGTGTTTTCTGTGCTTTGGTCTGTGCTGTGGCTATATAATGCAATTCTGCTTGTAGCTAGATCAGACTAAAGAAATCTCAAAGACTAATTGAATTGAGAATTTGGAGCAGAAGATTCCAGTTGTACAGTGAATTTGAGAGAGAGAATTAGCATTGGATAATTGGGTTGAAGAAGACTTCATAGTGATTTGAAGTGATTGTTCATGTGTTGAGCTCCATTGCCAGGAAATGACTAGTGGAAACTGAGAATCATAGTTTGTGTGCAATGGTGAACTGGAAAGTGTGTGTAAATCAGTGCTAAAGCTGTATTAATTGTGATTAAGAGATTGTAACTGAAGTGCCAGTAAATCTAATCATCCAATCTAGAGACTGTTATTTGTCGTATGTTCCCCCCTACTCGTTACAGTATCTAGCGTGTTCTGTGTACCATTACATTAGTTTTAACAGGCATGAGAGAACACCTGCAGTCAGGCCCACACTGTCACCAGATATATGCGTGATTCAGTGTTCTCTACAACCTTGAATGTGAAGTCCTTAACTGAAGACACACTTCATGGCTTGGTACAGTGTCTACAAATTAAGGTTGAACTGCCAAGACCCCCATGCCTTCAATAAATAATTAAAATGTGGGTAGGGGCAAAATTGTTCCCACAGCATCACTGGGAAATTATAAACCTTATCAGTACTAATAAATAGTGTAAGTGGGATGATTGTAGTTGAACAAGAACTATTTAAATTTGTAAATGTAAATTATAAAATATTTATGTTTCACAGGTAGGATCATCATCGAAGCTGTCATTTGCTAAGCAGAGTCCTCAGGTACAGCCTTCAGTTAACGTTGCTGCTGTATGGAAACTAGACGACACTGTAGATGATGATATTGAGACAATTGATGAAAATAATTTGCTGGATGAAGAAGATCTCAAGAAACCAGATCCAGCTTCTCTCAGGGGTTAGTTTCTAGTTGACGAGTTTTGTTGTTAACTTACTTGGTTCATAAATGCTGATACAAGGGAGAGTCAGTAAATAAGTCACAAATGGATATAAAATGTAAACCGCATGATATTTGAAACTGAAAAAAATACATTTATTTCTCAACATAACCTCCACCAACATTGAAACCATTGTCCCATCGCTTTACCATGCATCGAAACCCGCAGCATAGAAGTCTTCTGACCGTTGTCTCAGCCACTTCTGCACCTCCATTTCAACGTCTTTGTCATCAGTAAAACGTTTGCCACCCAGTTGTGAACCACTTTATGTGACGAACACTTCCGACCATAAACAGGAAACATTTCTTTATGAATATCCTTTGCATTGAGTCCTTCTTCCCACAAATGACACACAACAGCATTCTGCTCTTCGGTAGTACACACCTCAAACACAGTTGCCATTTTGACTACTGAAACCAGCCTCTGAACTTGTGCATGTGCTTCTGCTACCCAGACTGATATAAAGCTGGACTGTGCTGCTACCTAGTGATACACATAGAAAACCTATTACATCCATTACAGCTGTTTTACTTATATTTTTGACCTATTTACTGACTCTCTCTCGTAAAACTATTGAAATCCCTTCCTCTCTAATGTAACATATCAGAGATGAAGACCCCCAACCTAAAGACAGATGATATGATAATGTGCTGCCTGGTTGGGGTTGGTGGTAGATGCATGTGGAGCAGTGGTGGAATGATGATTAGTGGGGGAAAACTGAAGATACTCAGACAGCAACCTGCTCCAGTACACTTCATCCACCAGAAGTCTTAGATGAAGTCCTCTAGGATTGAATCTGAGCTTCGGCAGTGCAAAGCCAGCACCATGACCCTGTCCTTATTTTGCCATCATTTACAATATTTTTACTTCCAAGACTTTAAGTAGCTTTCATATTGTGATTGTCCGAGATATGACACTGCAGCCTGCTAGCTAAGTACCAATATTTGAGATGTATATACTGCTTATACCTTCTGCAATGAAGTAAGTAAGTAAAACTATCCTTGTAACAGGCCGTGAAGGCCCATAGGGTTGTGAGACATTGAGGGTCCCACATTATCGAGCTCACATATGGTGGTATGGTTGTCAGCCTTACACGCTGGCCGCACTTACTCCCCAGGAAAAATCCATGTCTCAACAGGGCACACCAAAATGTCATTCCCCTCAAAAACGCGTGATATCAGACAATTAATATAAATACATATGTGATCAACTTATCACTGTAATATTATTATATTGTTATTTTATTATCATTACACAGAAATCGACTCGTGCATTTATTAACAATTAATGAACTTTAATTCACTGTAGAGTGTAGAAAATACACTTCTATTACTATTAAAGTAAATACAGTAATTCTACTCATACCTTCAATGTGATATTTGCGCCTGCGTAGCTGCACACAGGCGACTGATCCGTGGTGGAATCGTTGAGAACGCAAGTCTCATTCCTTCATCAATGGATTTGAGCTGCTCCCTCTTTGATGTCTTAATTTCAGTTAACGTCAAGAAGCCCAGTTCACACAGATATGTAGTTGAAAATGGCAATAACACATTAACTGCCATCTTGGAGATAGCCGGGTATCCATTCCTTATTGCCAATCAAAACGTATCCAAAGGCACTTCGAGAAGTTTTAGTTTCAATGTTCTGTCTGCTTTTAAATCTGCGAGTTTCTCTTGTATCTTAATCGGAAGATGTTCTGAATTCACAACAAATGGATCACAAACCCAGTCGAAATCTTGTACACTCTCCAAAATACTTATTGAATTTCTGCTGCAGCATTTCTAAATGTTATAGTAAATTCATGGAATTGATAAAAAATTCGGAAACTGCGGAGCTATTTGTGGTTTCAGATTGCTCTACCGCAAGAAGATATGGGTAGATTGTTCATTCTTTAAAGGGATCCAACTATACAATTTGCAATAAACCATCCTTCACAATTTTGTGTTTCGTCAATTGATACCCACACAAAATTATCTTGAATCTTATCTCTTATGCTTTCAATTGTAAGATCGTAACACTGCTTCACATAATTTTTGCGCACAGTAGATTCATCTGGCACTTTGCACTATGTAAACTTCTCTGTGGAGTTTCTCAGAGTAGGATTGATTAGTTTCCACAGCGGAATATCTGCCACTAAAAAGGCTTTGCATAAATCAAAGGAAAACTGTGAAAAACTATTATTAGAAAATTCACTAAGCAATTTTAGAAAAGGAGCACTTTTCATGGATTTAATTTTAATATTCTCTTTGTGTATATTATTGTTCAAATGCTGAAGCATGTGAAAGCGTTTTTTGTAACAACTGTTTTCTCACATGCTTGGCAATAAAGAATTTCGTTATCCATACTTATCATCTCTCCTTTGAACTCCCACTGCTACAGCTGTAATTTAGTTTCTTGCCTACTTTCACTTTCGGCATGACTACAGAAATCTAAACAAACTTAACTACAGACTTGTCACCACTAATGTGAATGGCCCCCAGCTTCAAATGAAGAAGCGTAACGAACCTCATGGAGACTTCGGAAAAAATAAGTAAAGTCCCTTATTGGTTGAATAGTATTTACCTTGATAGCGACTACATGTGAACACTCCCAACTAATCTCTGGCCACTTTGATGGTACACGGATGAGGCAAGTTACGAGTAGAGGGATCGGGGAAGTCCCGTCCTGGGTATTGCATCAGAAACATGAATCATGACAAAATGTTGAGCCAAATATGCAACATATTCCAATATGGAAAAGAAAAATTGTATACACACGACCATGATTGAAAATTTGAATATAACATTAAAAAATATATATGATAAACATTTTTAAAAGGAAATACGCAGTATAAATAGAGATCTTCGAAAATATGATGCTGATTCATAAAACAGGCAAAATATGCATTTATATGCACCATCAAACCATGTCCAAAATTTAAGAAACAAAGCAATTCATACATATATCCAAATGAGCATACTTTCTGGTTGCAAGAAAGAAATATGCACTTGCATTAAAATCCGGTCCCTAGTGATGAGATACCTAAGTTTCTTCTCATGTCACTATACAGTCCAGGAAGTCATCACCTTGATCCTCATAATGCGTGAGGAATGCATATGCCGCAGCCACTCAGTTTTTCTTGTGATCATATGTCAACATTTTCAGCACCAAACGCATGCACAGTTTTCTGTAGCCTAATTTTTTTGTAACAGTTTCATTGAAAAGAGTTCTTGACACTTCTGAACGTTGTTGATGAAGTTCAGCAATGGTTAAAGTCTGTCAGCACAAATGTTTTCATCATTTTTTGGATGATTTCATCAGTGACAACGGATGGTCCTCCATTCCTTATTTCATCATGAACTCACTTCCTCCCGCTTCAAATTCACAACACCATTTTGCCACGTTCTGCCTGTTCATAACATCTTGACCATAAACAGAAAGAAGTTGGCAATGAATTTCAGCCGCAGTTTCTCCTTTTACATGAAGAAATCGAATTACTGCATGAACCTCACATTTGGCGGGATTTTGAATCGACATGGCCATTTGAAATACACGCTGTGAGCACATTGGTGTGACTGTGGCGAATGAACTCTGCCCTGCCATGCAGTTCTTATCTCACACGGCAGCACTATTTCAGGGCAGGGGACTTCCCTTGCATTTTTACTGGGCTTGTATCTTTACTTTCTGAATATCCCCCGTAGAACTCATAATTGTTCAAAATGCCTTCCATCAGCTTAAATGCAGAGCCTCATTGATACCATTAGGGAATGTTTAATTCTATGAAGAACTGCAATATTATTAATTTTCTTGTAGCATCAAAAGTTTGTTGTTGGATGTCATCTCTTGTGTCCACTTTGCATTCATACACAGTGTTTTTCACATGACTCCATATATAGAAATGTCACAGGCTCAGATCCAGTGTACAAAGTGGCCAATTCAGCATGCCTGCCTGCAGTACACGTGTGCTACATCTCGTAAAGCTACATATGCAGATCTGTCAGTATAACATTTATCAGTTAAAATGACTTCAGGATTCACATCCTGAAGTTATGACATAAAGTCATATGAGACCCTGCATAAAATGGGTGTTAAAGGTGTGGTGTAAATAATGTGGACTGGATTAATCTGGCTCAGGACAGGATCTGGTGGCATACTTTTTTGTACATGGTATTGAACCTTTGGGTTCTGTAAAAGGCATGAATTTTTTTTGACCAAATGAGTGACTGCCAGCATGTGAAGGAGGACACTGTTTCATGGAATTTACCAGTTCATTGTGGCACACAAAGGGAGCGAAGGTAGCACAGTATGGTTTTTAGGCTGTGGTCTGAATGACCAGGGTTTGATTCCTGGCAGTGCAGAGATTTTTCTCCTTGCAATCTTGATGACCATACTCAATTTCATATGTTAGGTACCAGTGTTTCCCTCCCCCCCATAGGGTTAGAGAGGCTTGAGAGTGAAGCTGATCTGTCTTCTCCATCTGGTGCTTAGATTAAGAATATGTGGAGCTAGCTTTCCACTCCGCACTACGTCTTTATGTCAAGGTGCTTAATTAAATACAGAGAGAACCTTACGCAAGTTAGTAATTTCTGTTGTCTGTTTTAAGTGTGTGGAACGACAGGCAAGAGGAAGGCTTGTAAGAACTGCTCCTGTGGCCTTGCGGAGGAATTGGCCGCTGAAGGGAAACCAGCAGCTGCACCTCCAGCGCAGACTAAAACTTCAGCTTGTGGCAATGTAAGTTCAACTGTCAATAGTATACACTGTCTTATAACATCACTTTTCCCTATTTACTCTATGTTACACATTTAACCCTTTGAAGTATAAAATTTTAGTTTTTACCTCATAGAAAATGCTCTACATCTTCTGGGATATAACCCCATGTAGTCCATTGAAAGTCAGCTTATATTTCAGAAGAAGATATTGCCTCCATCCTCAGAGCTCTGTTTTCCACCTGCTTTCAGCTGGTTTCTTGCTTGGCTTATTCTTCACTGCTGAAGATGGACTTTATATGTTCCTCCAAAAGTCGGTTGACTTTCAACAGAATACACAATGTTATATCCCAGAAAGTAGTACTCTTCATAACCACTGCTGTGAGAACCTCAAATACAGCTCTACAGCTCTTTAGCCTCTTTAGAAAGTCCAAACAAAGTAATGTTGTGTAGGGAAATTGAACCTGTGTATTGTTTGACTCGTATGAAACACTCAGGCCCTATTACCACATTACTGTCAGTTGATGCTAAAGCAGGTGGTACATATATGAGGGCGAGTCAGTAAGTAGGTTACAAATGGAAGTAAAACAGCTGTAATGGTGGACATAATAGGTTGTCTGTGAGTATCACTAGGTAGCAGCACAGTCCAGCTTCATGACAGTCAAGGTAGCAGATGTGCATGCACTTGTTCAAAGGCTGGTTTCAGTAGTCAACATGGTAGAGGAGTAAACTACCGAAGAGCAGTGTTCTGTTGTGCTTTTCTTGTGGGCAGAAGGACTCGGTGCAAAGCATATTCATAAAGAAATCTTTCCTGTATATGGTAGGAAGTGTTTGCCGCATGAAGCAGTTCACAGCTGGGTCAAGAAAAAACCACCTTGGTGGCAAACATTGAAACAGAGGTGCAGAAATGGCTGAGACAACAGTCAGAAAGTTTCTTCGCTGCGGGTTTTGACATACTGCTAAAGCGATGGGACAAGTGTATCCGTGTTGGTGGAGAATATGTCAAGAAATAAATATTTTGTTGCAGTCTTATATTTAAGCATCCTGTTACACTCTGCACAATGTATGACACAAACTCCATCCTAAGTGCAGTAACTTATTGTAGTTCTTTTGTCTTCTTTTCTTCTACACTACATGTTTCAGCCATAAATGGCAATCATCAGGTGTATTTCTCTCGCGTAGCTGTTTTAAATTTTAAAATTTAAAATTAAAAAAAAAATGGATTTAAATGGAAGATTCTAAAACTACCAAAATTCAAAAATGAAATTGACGTATGTAAATTACAAAGATTTTATACATATCTGACAAATATCAGCAAGGGGATTCTGATATATTGGGACCTAATAACAACGGAGAAATGAACAATTAAGAAAGCTGGTGTTTTTAAATTTTAAACTACGTGCAGTGTAACAGCTACATGAGAGAAATACACCTAATGACGGCCATTTACGGCCGAAACATGTAGTGTAGAAGAAAAGAAGGCAAAAGAACTACAATGAATTGTTGCACTTAGGACGGAGTTGTGTCATACGTTTTGTTGTAGGTTTGGATATCTCACATGTATTATGGTTTATATCCATTTATGACTTATTTAGTGACTCTCCCTCATAGTAATCTCATACTCTAAAGTATTAATCTGGTAACTGGTATTTTGAGTTATCGTGTTCATAGAATTTATATAATGGTTGGATTTTCCTGCATGTTTCTTATTGTATTAAGCTTTTCTTTTAAAGGCATTCCTTTAAAGTTTAAAATTGAAAAACTAGTCACAGGAGGAATTATATTATTGTCACATGTATTAAATCTGGCTACTGATGGATTTTGGAATGATGATTAGATTTATTGGACCCTCTGATACAGTGCATAACTACATTTTACTCTTAATTGTTACACGCACACTAGTGTCCACAGTTACGTCTTCGCTGTTGTTGCTTGGTAGCAGCTTCCTTTGGCGGATGTTCCCCTTCCTCTGGGTTACCGAACTGTCCCCGTGCCTCAGCTACCAGCTTCTCACAGCAACTGAGCCCCAGCGGTTATCTAACTAACTCACTAACTACAACAACTAACTGGTCCTGCTTATAATATGTCTGTATGGACTGCATAGAAAACAACTGTTCTATTACTGCTGCATTCTCTTGTTGCCATGGAAACGTGCTTGTTTGTGGAGCTGTTACTTTGCAGTGGCTGTTGCATAGTTGCTTGTTTCACAGTTGTTGCCTAACAACAGGTCTACATGCCACAATATCAAAATTTTAAGACATAGGACTTCTGGACTGAATTGATGAGGTTCAGGATAGGTTCTCATGGCAAGCTCTTGTGAATACAGTAATGAACCTTCAGGTTCCATCAACGGTGTCTGTTTTCTTGAGTACCTCAGCAGCTGCTAACTTCTGTGTAAGGAGCCTTCTCCTTGGAATTTGTCAGGTAGTTAGCAGAGATATTACATGTCATATGCACTTGAAGTCAGTGACAAGAATTTTTGACTGAGATGTGCTTTTTTTATGTCTGGCATTTTTAAATATGAAGTGTGATTATTTCTGAGTGGTAAAGTACCTAAATAAAATGGATCTTAGAGAGATAAGATGGGATGGTATGGATTGGATTGATCTGGCTCATGATAGGGACCAGTGGAAGGCTCTTGTGAACACAGTAATGAACCTTTAGGTTCCATAAACTACTGGGAAATTCTTGAGTAGCTGCAGATTTGGCTTCTCCTCAAGAAAGGCTCTGCTCCATAAGTAAGTAATTAAGTAAGTAAAATATCTAAACTTAATTAGTATGACTGATCAGATCTAAAAGTTTGTGACAGTCATATATTAATACAGTTATTGTGTTTTTGGACATTATCCATTGCCCTGTTTTTAATTTAAAAAGATGTTTTGGAGGATGGAGACAGGATCTGAGTCGAGTTGAGTCTTATGTTACGACCAGTGGTCAGTCAGCTAGTGTGTCTTGGAATAAGGCACCCATCTGGGAATTATGACCAGATTTTTATTACTGTCAGACATTTGTGGGTTTTGTTGATGTGGGGTTTTCTCTCTGAGGAGAGGACGGTTCTGTCATTTACAACTGATGCTGGCCCTCACCAGTGCAGTCATTCTCAGGTCTGAGTCCCATGGGACTCGTGACCATATTTCTCTGTCTCAGAGACAGAGAGAGACTTCCCTTTTAGGTGCCTCCTACAACTTGCAGGGCTATGGTGGATGTATTCAACTCTGCCTCCGCATGGGCTAGACAGGACCCAGCCTCAGAAGTGTTGTTTTAAGTTAAAGGGAAGATGATGGATAATGTTCAAAAACACAGTATTTGTATGACAGATCAGGTTGGCATGGTGGTAACACTCTAGTCTCAAAATTACCAGGTGCCCGATTCAAACCTCGGCCAGGACATGGTCTATTCTCATTGAAGCTTTTTTGTGATGTTCCTCAGCTGTTTCAAAAAATATCTGGATAGTACCATGATTAGGCCATGGCCACTTCCTTCAAAACCCTTTCCAGTTCATCACTCATCAGTCCTACCTTTTAATGGTATGTAGTCTAGCTACTAACTGTGGTATAATCTACAAAAATATTACTGCATCTTCTGTTGATAATTTCATACATTTTCTTGTTCACCACACAACTTCGCCAGCTGACTGTATGATGGAGAAATTCTGAAACCGTTTCATAACCTTCATTGAAGTAACCACATTATGAGTATGTGAACCCTAATCAGAAAGACATGACTTTGCTGAGAACTGAATTCTTTATGTACTTCCTTTACTGAATCATTTGTCCCAGCTTATTCCCATGTGGCTATTACTTTTCGAGGCATTCGCCAAATCATCTCATTTGAAATGAAAGGAAGCTATGTGCTTATGCAGTTGAAATGGACTGAAAATGACAAACTAAGTAGTACAAAGGAAAGTAACTAGATGAAGTCAGGTTTAGTTTATCCCCAAAATTATGTTGGCAGCCCTGAAATAGATGTTGTTTATAAAAGACACCCTCCCCACATTTGTGCTCTTTGGTTTTCATTGTCTTCTGGGTAGTTATAATACTGTGGAACATTTAGTATGGCTGCTGTGTTGGCATAATGCACCACAGATGCGATGTGATTTTTTATTTTAGGGGCTGTGACAACTGGAGAAATTTATGGAACAGTGATAGCTCAGTGAGGTGATAACTGTGTGATCCTGGAGAATGTTTACAGTTGGTTTGGAAGGTTAAAAGGATGGTGTAGGAGTGTCAGTGACTCTGGATTGCCATCAACTGTAAACACATGTCAGTTTAAGGAGCAGTCAGTCAGCATCTGTGACAATGAAAGTTTCAGTTTAATGAAACTACATCTGAAATTAACATCAGTCATGTGACAAAACCATTCAAGACTGTGTTGAGTTCTAACTGGAAAACAAAACTTGAAATCAGATTTATTTTAAATATTGACCTACTTCACACCACCTTTTCTATCTTGTCTTTGAGGTGACACTGTGTAGGAGAAATTGGCTGTTACGTATATTTTTGAGCCAGTCCACCAAAAGATACCGTTTGGCTCTAAGAGAATTGCAAAAAATGGTTTGAAAACTACTGACTTACATTATGAAGTACCATGGTCCGATGCCTGAGATGTTGTTAAAAGCCTTTCGTGATAAGATTGGTAATGTTCATTGTTTGTGGAAAGCGAGTCAGGAGAGGGTAGGAAAATTGAACAACACCCTGTTACCCTTCCCTATGCCCTCTTGACTGCCACTTAGGATCATCCAAAGGCCACGCCATATCTCAAACAGTTAGTCACTGGCTTCCCACCACGGCAGCCCGGGTTCGATCCCAGGTCTGGTGAAGTGAGATTTGTGGTGGACAGAGTGGTGCTGGGGCAGGTTTTCTCTGAGTACTTTGGTTTCCCCTGCCAATTGTCATTCCACCAGTTGCTCCACCATCTGGGGCTGGTACAATAGGCCAGAAGTGGCCACAGTACGAGGGACTTAGTCCCACTCCACTAACATTAAAAAAATTTAGGACCATCCTAGGCTTAGGAGCAAGAATATCA